ACCTGATGTGAAGAAAAGGACAACGAAGACATGGATAAGAAGACATCAAGAAGAACCGTCAGAATTCATCCACGGAGGAAGACGGTTCAGCAAGTTATCAAATCACCATGTAGAGGAACTCATTTCATGGATTGAGGAGAATCCAACTGTGACACTGTCGTTTCTACGGATGAAACTCAAGGCTGAATATGACAAAAAAGTTTCCATCACAACTATCAGCGACTATTTAGATGGGAAACTGATTACAATCAAAAAGATTCATCAAATACCAGTAACGATTGATAATAAAGAGAGCAGAAAAAGGTAATGTAAAGACCGGTTTTTGAGTCATTTCTTCTGAGATGTGTTCAAAATTTGCAGTGATACGAGGCACTTGGACATGAGATCATCTGGATTGATGAAAACAACTTCAACCCGCATTGTTCAAAATATTATGGGCGTGATTCAAAGGAATGGGTTTTATTCGAGAGAAACTCGGTCTCAATAGAATNGTAACGATTGATAATAAAGAGAGCAGAAAAAGGTAATGTAAAGACCGGTTTTTGAGTCATTTCTTCCGAGATATGTTCAAAATTTGCAGTGATACGAGGCACTTGGACATGAGATTATCTGGATTGATGAAACCAACTTCAACCCACATTGTTCAAGAAATTATGGGCATGCACCAAGAGGTCAAAGGTGTCGGATATCAGTGGCCAGTTCAAGAGAAAGAAATCTGCACATCATAGGTGCTATGAATGCTGATGGTTTGCTGAACTATACTCTGAAAAGAGAATCCTACAACTCCGCATTGTGTCTGCAATAGTTGCAAACGGTAGTAGATCAATTATTGCAAGAAGAGCACAAATTATATGTGATTGTGAGGCAATGCACTCTATCATTCTAGACTGGAAAACATCGTTGCCGGAGGAAGAGTGAGTATTCTCAGACTTGCTCCATACTCTCCAGTATTGAATCCGATCGGCATGATATGGAGCAGTACGAAAAGTTACATCAAAACGGAGCTCCGAAATCAGCATGCAAAGATTATGACGGGTAATCCCGAAGGACAAATGAACCAACAGGACTGGAGGATGGCATGTTTGGAAAGCATTACTAATGATGCCACGTCTCACATCACGAACGACCATTGTCAGTATGTAACTAACCATATTCGTATACATTATCCGACAGATGTCAAAGTGCTTAATTTTTAATTCATTTGATTGCTGTCTAACCACTGAACGTTTTTGTGAATGGGAGATATAAATTGGAAAGTTCTATCATTATTAGAGTTGCTAGACCGGTTGCATTAGATAGTTCGTAGACTTTAGGGCACATTTAAAATTACAGTCTGTTGGTTATCCACTTTGCGTTTGTTGATAATTTAATACAGATACAGTCGACAGCAGTTTGATCAAAATAATCACAAACAGTTGGATTCGAGGGGAGAAACTAACTGAAGTTGACATCCCCATCACCTTATGCATGCTAAGTATCTTGTCAAGTGTGCATTTCAATGTCAGAAATACGTAAGCAATCACATTTGATTCAAAGGAATCCGTTTTATTCGAGAGAATCTCGGCCTCGATGGAATTCACTCATTGGGTTATGGAGGGCTTAGCTTGACTCCACCCATACAAAGAATCCTGCTCACATTCACGTCTGGGCATGGTGACCGACTTATCGATCCATCCTGATGTGATTTGCTTCCTTACCCAACCGACAGAGGTCAGTTGACTCCGGGTTAGTTCATTCGTATCTGTGACGCACACTCGACAACGATCACGAACATAACGTTCCCGGGTGGAACGGGTGTTTGCGTGTGGGGGGGGGGGGCGGTGGAAGAACAGCCCACCTCAACTTGAAGTTACAACATATTCACTTGAAACTGAAAAGGTGTCGAGGCAAACACTCCTCTACCCCCACCCTATCCCCGTTGCTACAGCTACTTGACCTCGACCTTTGGACCCCAACACAACAACTTCTCGTTTTTTTCTTGCAATAATGCGATTGTACTGGCTTGAGAAGGAATTCACCGAAAACATGTGTTCGCCTACAACCTGTGTTATGAAATCGTTTTAGTTTAGCGCGTGCGGAAACATCACTCTCTGATTTTAGTTCATTCTATGAGAAATCGTTACGAGAAGGTGTTCAAGGACACCATTACAAGCACAAGTTCTGGCTGGTGCATCGCGCTTCGGCGACGTTCCGTTGAGTATTTGACCGTCCCGTCTATTAGCTCACGTAACATTCGTTCGTGAATATTCGTTTGTTTGCTGAGTCGTTCCCCACACAACCTGCCACAGGTTTAGACCAGTCCCTACGCATTACTGCCGGCGATTTCAATCGATTTGAAATTTCTTTCCTAACAAATCGTGTAAATTGGCCTATCCTATTCGGTGTCCAACTTGATGGCATCTTTGTAAACAACCCGCACCCCTTCTAAAACGGCTCGGTTATGATAAACAAAAGGCCTAAAGGATACTAAGGTGCAATGCTGTTGAACATCTATCGTTTTAAATAAAAAAATGAAAATATTGGATGTATACTGAAACTCTTATGGGAAACATGAACCACCGTGATATGTGATCTACCTTGAATCACTCTGTAGCTCATGCAGTAGCTCCTTCTAGGATGTTGAGAAGTTAAATCTTCAATTTACAAATGTGTTTGTAGTAACGTTCAAACTACACTCACTAACATCTGTCGTGAGATACTACTCATACTTGTGAGTAGGTCTCAAAAGATGCGGTTGGCAGAATCTTTCAACAGTCAAAAGTGAGCATAACCTTTTGGAACGAATCGCTACTGTTCAGTATGGTAACTAAAAGAATGCGCATCTAATATTGGACCGTTGCATTAACTGTCCTCGACCAAGAACCACTTCGTGGATTTATAACAACCGGTGACATCCGGATCAAGATGAAAGTTTCATGGCTTGAAGCTTTTGAGGACGGAGACGCGCGGATATTCCTGGAGGACGTCGCGGAGCTGACGGAGATGTGGAAGGACCGAGGTGAGCTTACGGCCCTCCGAGCGTTTCTCTATGGCCGTCCACAGGTGTTATTGGTTACCGCGCATGAGGTCCGGAGGAGATAGAGTGGGCCGCAAGGGACGCCCTGATTGCGGGTAATGACACCCTGGCCGACCACCAGGAGGCCTTGTGGAGCTTCAGAACGGCGCAGCTCGGAGTGGGCGTGGACACCTGTCGCATGCCGTGGCCCTGCGCACCCTGTTAAATCGAGCTCTCCCAACGTTGGACGATGCTGCGCGTTCGGAATTACTGCTCGATCGTTTCATGCAAAGCCTACCGTAAGATATCCAGGAGACGGCATGGATAATGAATGCTGAGAAGACCACTTATTCAAACTGGCTTATGTCCTGAGTGGGTTCACCTGGAAGAAAGTCACGCCTGGGATATCTTACACATTCCGTTTGAGTATAACCAGTGGCTCTAAAGCAGTTGACTATTTAGTGGAGAGAGCACTTTAAATCTAGTGGTCCGGAACAGTCGTGACTTGTGACTTGACTGTTTTGGAGTTAGAGAATGTGTCCCTCGTGGCTTCCCTCCAGTCACAGAGATTTGTGCTCTTATCATTGATTTCTTCAAGTCACTGTTCGGTAATGCTGGAAAATATTTCATCTTCCAACTTCCACAAATTCAATTTGATTTCAGTAAACTGATTCGTAAAATCATTCAAATCCATCATCTTATGGGATTCGATATGATCAGTTTTTAAATTTCGCTATGATAAACTCTCAAATGGACTTTTAATTCAAAAATTTTCGATCGCATTCACTCCTGGTTTAACAGGAAAAAATCGCTCTTTTTTACAGAAACCTCAAAAGTTTGTCCCGGTACAGTGGCATGGGTGGAAATGTTTTTGTTAAGATTTGTGTTTACAAGCGCTTTGATGCTTCTGGCAGAATAACACATAACCTAGGTCATCGTCTAAAAGCCGTGTTATCACAAGAACATGACGTCGGTATCGACCACTTACATGTCCTCAATAAGACCTTGGAATGTCATTGTTGTGAGGCCTTTAAACGCGATCGGCAAATGGCCACAATGACCAGCCTTCGGATTTGTCACCTGATTTGATTTGATCACGTCATCGAACGTACTGTCCGAATTCGGTCCTGGTAGTCCATCGTACTGAACTCGTTCGTTCAGTCTCTCATCCGAACTCGGTCGATCGGCCAGCATCCGGACACGTGCCTTGTTCATTTCATTCTGAAAACGGACAGTGGTTGGTCTCGTAGACGCGTAGTCGCACGTGTACGGGTAATTAATTGACCTATTTTGCTGATAAACATGTTTCAGAGTAGAGTTAAATCAGTGTAAACCAAGAAATCGTTTTTCCTCTTGGCTACGGTTCGAGGACAGGATGAAATTTTAATAAAAAATGATGTCCATCTTTGCGCTTATATGGATGAAAGTAAACAGGATAGATACTTAGACCATGGTCTAGTTTGACGAACACGTGACAGATGAAAGAGATTAAGACTGTCATTCGGAAGGACAACGGAACTACTTGTTCGGCTAAGAGAGGATAATCCCACCTATACCAGACTGTGGATTCCCCTAAAATTACGACTTCACATGGGTTAATGAACACTTGATCATACCCAGTGGACCAAGACGGCTGAAGTGCTTGTACTAATCGCTGTGTGTGTGTGTGTGTAGATTATCATTCGGATCTTCGAATATTCTTGTCAGTTATAGATGACTAGGTTATCAGCTGGCGGAGCCTTTAAATTAGGCCGGTCATTCTTGTGCGTAAAATAACATTTGATATACATTTCATGTTTCGATCACAGTTTTCTATAGTCCAAGTAATCTCTAACTTCGCCGAATTTGTGAGTCATTTCTGTCACTAAATGTTTGCGCACAAATCCGGTCATATGACAACGTCATTGGATTAAAAAACAAATAGAGGCAGACGATTTTCACTGAAACAATGCAGAATCATCAACAGACATCGCGGAGATTATCAATGTTATAAAATATTCAAAATAAGTTCATTTCTATGTTACCCTTCTCGAATGGACTATCTATCCTCGAAAAAATGTGATCTCTTCCACTTGATCAAAAAGGTGGAATAATCAAGTAGTGGTCTCAAGCAGTAGTCTCTAGTTGAACTGCATTCCCCTAAATTGCATCGACCGAGACACCGCTGACAATCAACGAGAATCAGGCGGAGTTGCTCTCAAGTTGGTTTGTCTCAGTGGGATTAAATCAGCTGGAATCATTTTGACAAACGGCGTGTCACCAAAGTCACACAGTACGGCTGAATACAACTAGCGCTTTCCGGGCAGACTTTGTTCTATTCGAGGGTCTAACATCTTCAACCCACCTGTATGAAGTTTGCGGATTCGTATGTATGTATAATCACGCCTAAATGTTACAGAAAAGAATGACATATTCGCATTTACATCGGCACTAAACACACCCTATCCCATCAGGACAATTGAATCCTAATTGTCAGCCACATTCAAGTAGTCCCAGAACTAAAAACAACACCAGCGTAATAGAGCATCAGGTCCTGGCAGACTTTAGCCTCTGTTCCTTTCAAAGTTTCTGTTAACCCAGCCGGTAGATTCTCTTCATTATTCAACAACGGAGGGTGGGAGAACTTTACGCTTTACACAAAGGAATTAAAAAATTCGAGTCATCACCTACATGTGAACTTCATCTAAGACCTTAGATAGACTTAGATAGACTCTATTGGAACACATCACTCTTTACGAGAACAATTAGATTGCTTATGAGCTCAAGCAATCTACTGTCTACTCTACGTCACAGCTCATTCACTCAATTCTGACTACCTCTGGTAGTTCGAGCCAGGCTTTTCATATGCAATGCATTGATTATGAGGAGTGCCAACAACTACAGGTCCTCTGTTCTCCACAAGCTGCTGGGCAAACCGTTGCGGAGCTGGCGTGGATCAAAGAATATTTTACTGGTGGATACCAACTTACCTTTTATGAGACCCTTTAATCTCATATTTGCATCCCGCAAATTGTAAAATGCTGCATTGAGTCTTTTTTATCCGCTTTCCTGTTTACGTTCTACATTCATGACCTCTAAATCACTACAGATGATTTCATGGTTAGATGTGCCACGGACTTCTTGGTCGGTTATAAGTCCGACAAAAGTTTTTCCGAATTTACCTATCTTCCAGATTCTATTTCGTTTATTCTGGAATCGTATTTGTCAGATGGGGTAGAATGAAAAATGCTCAGAATTGTGTACGGGTGACTCTGTTCTTATTAGTTACAACTCAGATGTTTGGATTTCTCTCCGTCTGTCCACATTCACTTTGTACACAGTTACTTTCTGTCCCACCGACTATATTGTTTTCCCGTAGTTTGCTTCTTCCCAACGACTGCCAGTTGAAAAAGGTAATCTGGTTCGTCGAAAGCGTGTCTTCCCTTTTTACGTTTATACAACTCTTGAGACAATTTCTCTCATAACATTCTGTCCAAGAACACTTAATACACTATTAAGTAAACATCGAACTATTTCAGCACCACAGAACAGTAACAGACATTTATATACTCAAAATATTGGAAATCGGTTCTCGTAGCTCGGGTGAACTGAATTCCATTTCGCCTGTTCGCCGAGCTTGGCACTTTGTTTGCAAACGTTTCATCACCAGCCGAGGTGACGTCATCAGTGCCTACCGATCAGCTGGTTCATCGTTCACCCGCATTCAACAAGGTGTTTCGCTTAGCCGGTCCGAGTGATTGCTGGGCTTACAAGGGTATTCAAATGATAAGCAATTTGCCTTCATAAACCTATTTGCGAAGACCGGATTCTGATTGTCACGCTAATGCACAGTTTAGTTGGGATTCGGTAACCATATATGGGAAATCGGGACACACAAGACAGCGTGTTGGTTGGGGGACAGATAAGCGAATTGATGAGTGTTTGTTAGCATATATCGATCGATTAACCGATGACCTAAACCTAGGTCAAACTGATTCAAAGACTGGAGGGATATTGGGTAATATGAACACTTGCATCACAAGACTTTCGGTTATGATTTCGTTCCTCTTCCTTCAGTGGCAACATATCTAACAGTCATTTTGGGTGAATCACAGAATGACTGCACCCCATCCATGCGAGATTACCCCTAAGGTTGAAGCTTCCGACGATCCTTGTCCAGGCTTCCTCTGGAACTGAGTTTTTTTCAGTGGAGGATGGGGTCTTTGGTTCATTTCCTTCTAATGGAGGGTTGTAGGTCAGGTCAGAAGCATTGAGCCTCGTCATCCCTGAGGTCATGTTAGAATCCACCTGTCAGTACACTTCAACGGTTGTTTTACTATTTTTTGTTACACATGTATATGATGAACAGTAGACAGGACGGACCCCTGAGTCACGAAGACCTGTTGTTCAGTGATGGTAACCGGTTACCTAAGCCCCGAGACTTGGAGCGGCGAACTACATAAGACCGTGATAGGTTGGGTATGGAACTGAAACAGACGGCAGCAAAGCTACCTAACACCCAAGTTGATTGGCAGTGGCAGGGCTTGAACCTCTGACCGTGGAGTTGAACGCTTGCCGACGGAGGCGATAAAACCACTGTGCCACCACCATCACCCACTTGGAATCGGCAATAGCGATTCAGTTGAGAAGAATTTCACACGGTTTCATTAAATCTTATGCTGTTGTTTAAGTTGTAAATGAAAGAGCTAAAAACTTTTCCCGATGAATTTCGCGTAAAAGCAACAAACACTACTATATTAGCATTCTTACTTGACGCTGATTACACGCGTTTCGTTCGGCATCTTCCACATTGTCCAACTTCTCACGCAATAGCTTCCACAGTTGCAACGGTGTGGAACAGGCACACGTGGCTTCCGATCCTAGTGGACGACAAATGGATTCCGGTTTGTCCGGCGAACAAGGACTGTGATTTGGTCCACATGGGGGCCCCTGCCACTGAGTGACACGAGACCACAATTCGGTCGGTTCAACCGGTCCCGATTCCGCCGGGTTGGGAGAGATGGGACCGGCGAGGACAACCTCAGCTCCATTGATGTTTAACTTTTTCGTGTAGATCGAGAGAACAGGTGAGGATAATACAAACACAAAAAGTGTCTTTATGCTACAGCAATAAAAATGATTCCTTCATGCAACATGTATGCAACGCCAAAAACCGATCAAATTGAATAGTTTCACCTGACTTAACTGATGCANCAGCGGAGTGAAAACCTACAAATGGATGCAATCCATCCATCCCTTGAGCACTGCGTACACTAGCAAATGAGATACGAAGTCCCGTCAATAGCTTGCATCTTTTCACACTTTGGGTTGCCCACTGTACTTATACGGACAATAAATACATTTAAAATTACTTTCGCTGTTCATGATTCAGACCTAAGGTTCACCCCTAATCGTTTGTTCACCCGGCGAGTCGTGAATTCACAATAGGAAGAACGTGTATGGAGATTTATTTTTGCTAAAGCTCACCAGAAGATTGATTGCATATCCAACGGCTTGTTCTGGTTTTGAGCACCAGACCTATCGCACGGAAGTCGTGCATATGGTGCCCTCGAACTGGCTATTAGGATTACCATTTCACGTTTGTTCAGATGAAATTTTCGATAAAAGTCAGTTCGTTTATTTGGCTCGACAATAACGATCCGTGAAGTTGATAACTTACCAGTAACTTCAGTGGAACGCTTCCCCAGGAATTCAACTCTTTCTTTCCAGTTTGATTATAGTATGTATGGTGTGGAGAACTGACAACTGTGTATAAGCATTATTCCGAATTCTGATCAGTTAAACCATTCTATACCAATTCTTATGCGTATCCGTGAGTTCAGCATGGTTCAACAGGAAAATCTTTTGTGAAAATGTGTGAAACAAAGGAGTTTGTACGAATTATTGAATGTCAATTGATTCCATAAAGAAGCCCATGCTAACCGTGAGCGTACGTTCAAGCTATTGTTTCCATGTGGGATTTGGAATTTTCATTGGGGTACTCGATCTTTTCACCATTAGACTTCACAAACTCTCATCTCGAAATGTGGCTTTCCCATCGTAAACGGGAAAAACGGCAATTTCGAACAATCCGGATATTTCTTTATCAGCAGAGTGATGGAAACGATTAAGAACAAATCACTGAACATTAAAAAAAAAATAGATGACATTCCACTATTGTCTCGATACCTTGTATACTTCAGTATCAGTTGATCGAAGGGAAGCAAAATACAACTGGGTTCATTGTTTTATTTTCATCTAAAGAATAATAAAAATGTAAAATGAAAACCACCAGCAGATTCTTTCACGTTTCTTTCTTTCTCTCTCTTTTCGACACTCGTCAGCCTGATTACCATTACTTATCTTCACTTACTTTGCTTAGTGATCATCAGTGTACTATTTGTGAAAGAAGCCACAAGCCAGTACCATTCCTCCCGGGCTCACTCGCGTCCTGTCAAACAAATAAAGACCTGCTGTGTGTGTGTGCATGTGTGTGTGTGTGTGGGTGGTTGAACGTAACCACAAATGTGCATCATCGGTGAGTGATTAAACTGTTGCCTATCTTGTAGTTGATGTGAATTTTATGAACCCGGCAGCTGTCCAACATCGATCAGTGCTTATTCATTATCGTTTAAACGGAACATTTCTCGAGTTAAACTTGGATAGATGATTGGAAACTGCGACTGGGTAGTGACAGACCCCGGAAGTACTTTATTGTGCCGTCAATTCCCGTTCACCGTCTGGTACCGAATGAATATCAGACCGATCGAGGAAATGTGTTCCCCTACCTTTTAAAAAACTTCGATTTGACGGCTGATAAGGCTTTCTAAGGCAATCAACCTCCCAAACATTCCTGCTCCTTCACAACAAGGAGGCCTACATTAGTCTAATTTTCCTGCATAAACGTCATAAGTAAAAGATTCGCGATGTAATATGTCAAATTATTATCACGGAAGACAGGTAAACAATTTCGTTCTGTGTAATCAGTATCAGTTGAGATACAGTAACTTGATTTCGGAATTAAATAGTGTTTAATCGCAATCTGGTGTTCTCTATTGTAATTCTCATATCAAAGACGAACTTCAAGTCAACAAATATTGAGCCTCTTGTGACTGGTTTGAATCGGAATAGTCATTTTAGTCATTTTGTTCAATTTTGGACAAAAGCTACCATCAGTGGTTATTCGATCCAAGTGGTCTCTCAATGCACACACGCACACAGTTCGAGTACCCATGCAATTTTTCGATTTTTGTCACGGACTTAATTTTTAGCGCGCTGTATTCATTTTGTTTGCGGTAGGCGGCAAACCACTCATTTCCTACAGGGTAACAAGCACCTGCATCGACTCAGAAATAATAAAGCCAACGGCATGAGATACTGTTGTAGGAGATAATACCAACTAAACCGAATTACCATTTAGTAATTCCGGGGCTATTATAGTAACAACTCAAATTAACGTTTTGTGGATATCGGAGGAACACGTCAGATGCATATATTTCTCCCGAGGATTTAATATTTGTCACAATCAATTTTACTGACAAGAAGTGTGTCCTTCGAGTAGAAATAGGGTGGGTGGAAAAGCCTATATGTGAGTAATAATTGGAGGCCCATCTCAATTGACTACTGACAAATAAGGAAGTAGCCAGTTGTTTAACACTGTTAGAGAAATCCGTTCTACTTCTTCTACCTCACACTGTACGCAAATTTTATTGCAAACATATGAGGTTTAATCCCCTTTGAATGGGGGTAATCTTGGGAAACTTAAGTGAGGGAACATGAAGAATAGCCGGAGTATTTGGAGCAAAAATTTGGGCAGCACGGATCCCGTGAAACGGTTTCACTCACCTTTTGTAAAGCACCTCTCATTCCACGACTCACGGGTATTGAAGGAACAGAACGATCATTCGGACTGAACCCGCCAACATATATGGGACTTTCTGAAAGGTCGAAGGCCGATAGCTGGTGGTAGAAAAAAAACAAAATGAGAATAAATGCAACAAGCTACGGGGGGGGGACTTGCACCAGGCAGCTGGATATCCGCGCTAACACGTGACATTTGTACATTTTCCGCGGGCATCATGAGGGACACGAAGTACTGATGCACAACGAAACTATTCAACTGGCAATGAGTGCATTGTTCACTGTCTATCATTAATAATGAAAAAAGAGTAGACTAACCATTTCCTGTACAGATGTGGACAGATGTTCAGAGCCTCAAACGATCAGAACCTTTTGCTTTTCATCAGTACAAGTTACAACGTTTGTGTGAATAAACAATAAGAAGTATATCCGAGTTGTGTGCAGCACACACTGACTTCTCCCAACTCTTTCATGTTTGGACAGAAATTTGTCATTTCTACACACCAACACAGTGCATATTTGCTTTCAGCAGGTTATTGAACCGGTTCAGGTAGTTCTCCTTTGTATGATGTGGTAATAGCTAGTTGCTCATCAAATTCCTGGTTTGTCCAGAATTAGGCAATTGGTGAGTAACTTCAACTCATGGACCACGGATTATTCGGTCTGATTGAAGTGTAAACTTTGATGATTTAAACATATCCTACAACTGTGGAAATTACGTTGCGCTGTTTGTAAATACAAGGAAGAGACTATTGTTACACTCGTTATGGACCGGTATACTGCTGTCAACACAGATTCCAACCACTAGTTCACTTATCAAGCATGCTAGTTCGTGGAACCGCCTAATAACTGGTGAGAGTCTGAGAGGGGTATGTGAGTATGTGGCGAATGAAAAAAGTAAACAAAAAACCACAGTTGTTAGTTACCTGTTGTCGTATGTTTCGAGGTAATCGTCGAAAATTTTCCGGAACCTGAAAGGAAATTTCAGAGTGACATGTGAGTGATCCGCTTTTTTGTGCACTCATAGATAATCGCTGCGGAACTGTGAGACAGCAACGAGGAATAAGAATAATTTGAAAGCAGAATGAAAACAGATGACTGTAATTTTTTACGGCGAATCACAGCAACAATGTGATACAGATTATCCCCGATCAGATGGATGGAGCTCATTAGAAGATTTTTCATTTTAGTTACAAAAAGGTTACATTCCGATGAGATGTAGTAATTGGAGATTGAGACATGCCGTCTGAAACACTGTGCACGATCCTCATCAAGCAGACCTCGTGCAGAATAAAGTTGTACGGAGAGTTTAGAGTACCTAACCAATTATTGCTGCTTCACACCCTATAAGTCAATTTAGCCATTTTGGTACATTGCAACTTAAAGTAGCAGTTAGCTAATGAAGCGCATGCGTACGCAAGCACACGCGCAGGCACGCAGGCGCGCGCGAGAGAGAGATAGGTGCACCGTGAAATAACGAACACCGGTGGAATGTGTCTCCATTACGCTGAGCGATGAGCGGTGCACAAGAATTGAAGAACAGAGACGGAAAAGGTAAACCGCACTGATATCTCTGTCGTCCGATATACACCTGACTCTGCTTTCGTACAACGAAAATTCCTTTATAGGGGAAATCTTACGTTTATGCCTAGTCTTTGTGTGTGTGTGTGTGTGTGTGTGTGTGTGTGTGTGTGTGCGTGTGGTTATTCTTACAGGCCCAGTTTTGCGCTTCAGACTCTCCCCCTGCACCAGGTTTGGGTGAGGAACACAAGTGGAAATCTGTCTCAGAATGATTTAAGGAATGCGAGTGATGTGAGACAGAAACCGTACAACAAGGTGATGGATACATTATCACACTGACTGTTGCATTCGAATCAAATTGAGGGGCACACACAGTATCTGAGATATAGATGACTTTAAAAAATGTGTTGTTCGTAAAACAAAACTAGCAAGCAATTGATTTTTCTTCGTAGCGCAGGGCCGTCCGCAGAGCGCGGACAAATCGACCCGATTGATCATGGTTGAAACTGGGACTTTATAAAAAGAACGCAAATACAACATTATCGGAAAGATGATCGCACAGCTCAACTTTAAATCTGCAGAATAAATCAACATAATAATAATAATAAGCTTCCCGAAGGATTAATGAAAATAAAAGCGCTCATTCGGTTAGCGTATATCTGAGTGTTTCGGCAGATGAATAAAACACAATTTGATTTTCATCAAAACGTTCACAGAACATTCCTAAGACAATGGCACAACTGTCCTCCCCGGCCACTCATCATAAAGTACCGACAAACCCAACCTCCCAGTGTTCCTTACCGTTCGGACACGTTCTTTCGGACCGTCATTCAGTTGAACATCTAATGCTCGGGTACGTTTTTCCACAATTAAAGTGTGCCACCGATTCAGTTGCACGGGGGCACTGTAACGAAATGTGATCAGACGACTCTGCGGCTGTTGGTGCAAGAATTCCACCCGGTCCTCACTGACCGGGTGACCGACTCGGCACTGTACAAACAAATAGCCTTTGGCATCCACATACACACTGATAAAAGGCCCGGTGTTCTGTGTGGCAAAACGCATACTCGGCGGGATGAGTAGAATCACTCCTGAAATGAAAAAAAGCAACAAACCGATTGCTCGGAGATTTGTATATGTATAACTTGTGTAAGCATAAATAATAATAATATTGATAAAAACCAAAGGTAAAGAATATCGGTGATATTTATTTCATGTACAAAATATTTGACGTAGTTCGTTTGAAACCTATTCCTTTTTGGTAAGTAGTCTGTCCAGACAGGGTACAGGGGAATTTTTATAAATATTATTGCGAGAGGATAGCTATCGAAATGAGAAGCGTGTGGACGGATGGGAACGACAAGACGATAGATCAGAGTGTAGTGGATGAACAGGGTCGTCTAGAATCTTGTGAGCAAATAAATTTAAAACAAGAGTTGATGTGACCATCAATGAGTTCTGCGATTAGTGAATCGATCGGAATTAATGATGCACGATTGATGATCACCAAACCACGGTGAATTGTCTTGAAGTATTGTTTTAAAAGACCGGGAAATACTACAGGGGAGCAATAGAGTCGAATGTGTAAAACGCATTGATGAACGAAGGATGACAGGACTGACTGTGGGGTCTGGCATTGCTTGAGTTTGCGTAACTTAAAAGACAGGCGTCTTAGTTTTGCCATACAGTTGTAAATATGTGTAGACCAACAAATAGTGCTGTCGATGGTGACATCCAGGTACTCTGGATGTGCGCAAGCGGGGCAGATCAAATATTATCTCGTTTCAATTTCAGTTCAAAGAAAATAAAAACTTATGATAAAATCCCAGGTAATGGAGCAACATTATTTCCATAACTGTGTCCTTGGTAAAAGCGAGAAATCTCACACGCAAGTATGAGGATTCATTAGACTCCCAGTTTCTTATCTCCAATTTAGCGAACCTAATGGGTTGCCCTCTAACAGCCCAGGATGGTTTTGGAGTAGACACTGCGGTTGACGTCAGTCACCAACTTTGGCTTCTTTCGGAAGCTCCACGAGTGGGCTGCGCTGACATGGCTTCCTCGTGGCGAAAGTGTCTGATCTGAAGTCGGATAATGTGAGGGTGATTCCTGACTAGGTTGAAGAACCAACGATAACTGTGTCGTTCATCGGGTGTCAACAAATCCTGATTCAAAACCATCCACCCCCAGGACTATTGAACAATAGTGCTTGTGTGTCCTGGACATCCCGAAAGTTGGGGGCTCATTACGAAGTGCAAATGGCATCCACCGGTCACTAAATAGACTGGGCACCAAAGGCATCGCTCGCTCTCTCAGGTTTTGTGCGTTAGATAATCCGAACTACTGCCGACTAGTTGACAGTGCTTGTGCTGTAGAAACTGCGATCTTATGCATTGTGGTCATTGAAAACCCCCCAGAGATTTGAGTTTCAAAAAACTGAGAATGCGATTTTCCAACTCAATTTCTCAATTGAGTTGTGCGTATATACGCTTGAAAAACCACATGATGTACATCTTTATTTACAAGAGTTTTTCTTTGTCATATAATATAGTATAATCTTGGTTATATGGTGGTCTCACATATAACGGACCACAATTTATCTACATAATGTCGCATCATTTGGTCTGTTTCAGCGGAACGTTCAAGTTCGGTATCTGCACTCTACACTCAAGGAGTTTGGAAATTGTTCTACATGTTCGAAAAACTGTTCGTTTCATCACTAAAATCAAGTTATTCACGTAGGAAAACATACTAAAATTAAAATGACATTTTTCATTGAAATTTTACTCTTATATAACAAGTTACTATTGATTTGGTTTGCCTCAACTGAGTTAATTCAATTTAACTGGTGCTCATCTGGCAGTTTAAAGCGCTCCACTGACGACAGGTGGACAGTGCTTGTGTCGTGCGTGTACTAATAAGGAGCTTATGTATTCCGGCTATTGTAAACCCCCAGGGACACGAGTGTCACTTATCAACATTATCTCTCGTTCATTGTGACCCAATCGGTTAGCACATTTCACGTTGGAACACACAGGATGAAGTCCGTATGTACTTCACTTCCCTTAGATTTCAGGTTATCGGATTCGTTCCTTGGGTTTAGTGATCCTGAAGCGGCTATCTTTTGTTTACAACAAAATAGACATGAAGATCAATACGCGCAGATGTAGAGTAATTCAATAATTTTTTCTGTAGGAAATTATTCATAAAATCTTCAAGAACCGAAATTTTGAAAAAAGAATGCATAAATAAAAATTGATAGATCACCCAAGGTTGAAGGGTCTTGACGATTTGTGTGACCAAACAAAGTCAGATCAAGTTACGCGGGTGTGCAGTTGTTAGGATGTTACGCTTTGATCTGATCCAATCTAACGAAAACGTTCCACAAAAGATCATTTATTTTTATGTATGGTGACAGTCAAGGGACCGTAATACAAAACTGAAAACAATCGATGAAGAATGAATCACCGTACAAACCAACAAGTTTGACGGGAAGCTTTTGTTTTTCAAACACTTCATCAATCCAAAACTCTATCTCTTCACACCAGCGTTTTTCACAATTTTTTGCCTCGAGTATTAATCTACAGCTGATTCCTCCAGCAAAATAGAAAGTGATTTGAAGTGTGCACTACCAACCCCTCTCTCCCGATCTGTGTTCTTATTTGCTCCACAGTTCATTTGCTCACTGATTAGCCTCACGAAACAGTAGAATATCTTCTTGCTTTTAGCACCATTGAACGAGTGAATTGCACTTTCATTTGGTTGTGAATTTATTTTATCCGATAATTCACGCCTGAAAAATGTGAGTTCGTCAATAATAAAAGGAATGCAAATTGATTGGCAAATCATGTCACGACAGTTGACTTAAAATTTTACTACGAAGGTTCCTTTGTTCTAACATCTTTATTCATTTAGGTCTCTTGTCTAATGCCGTTATGATTTGAGTTGGCCTCACCCGCAAGACATATTGTGCGTGTTCCGCATCGAAAACATAGATGGTGTCCACCTTTCTTGCCCGAGGCTCGGAAATTTAAGCACTGCAGGGATTTGAACCACGAACCTTCGAGTTGAGAGCTAAAACCCTCACCCAACCCCCCGAGGTTCGTAGCTGACGGCCGATCAACATCATTTGCGTGCACGGGTAGGTGAATTGGATAGGTTGTTGTTTTCTAATCCTGTATGTATTCACGAACTGCACGAGTTGTGTGTTTTTGTCTTCATGTTTGTGTCTGCCATCCATCGGGAGAGCATGTTGTGATGTGAAATCGCATAGACTGAAGAAAAACGTGTTCAGTCACATTCCCGCAGCCCAAATTAGTCGGTAACTTCACTAATGCTGGATCAGAGCAAACGTGACGAAAACTTGCCTTCCACTTGAGTCACCAGAAATACAATCTCCATATGAAGCCGTTTCCGTTGCATCGACTGCCGACCGGTCGGACCAGGCAATCGAATAAATCCGTCCCCGTGAAACTGTGGAATGATGGTAGCCACTGACGTGACAGGTAGGGGATGGGAGGAAATTGAAAAGAGTGTAAACCAGGATACAAGAAGGAATATGTTTTTTCGGTGGTACATCATATATTAAACTAGATAGGATATAAAACTATTCGCCGGTGAAAAAAGAACGCGGGAGGATCGAGATTCTCTGATTGGGACTAAGAATCTACAACTTTCTACTGACACAAAGATGAGTCAAAGCCAAGGCGATACAATTTTCGTGCTGTAACATAATGTGCGATTGATAGGTGCATCGAACGTAGTGGTCCCCAGAAGGTTCCAGCAGTAAAGGCAGTTTTGTTTAACCAATAAATCAACTGAATCCTATTATATCGATACGGAATATTTCATACAATCGTCTGAAGTGCCTCACATTCGTGCTAGACAATATTGGGGTGTTATCTTCTTTTCACGGTTGAGTATAGACTGTTGATAAGTATTGAAAATTGGTTCTCGTAGCTCAGAATTGAGTACAGACTGCCTGTGGTCATCCAGTTGAAGAAAAACTCGTGGGACTCAAACCCACAACCGATGTGACAATGGCCAACAGCACTGTTTCAACGCGAACGTTGGCAGAAACTGAAACAACTGAATAAAGCCCAATGAAATGCAACCGTAAATTTCCTATTTTGACATTTGAAAATGACTAGCTCTAATAGTATTCCGTTTCTCGATTGACTCTCGAGTTAGCTTGTACTGACTGAGTTTTGTTTAAGCGAACCAAGGCTGAACTGGTGAAAGTTCTGTTAGGTTTTCAAAGCTTTTCACTGTTTC